GCGTTGAAATCATACTAAAACATTGCGTACGCACAAAGCTGTAAATGTGCGTATGCAGTAAAAAAATTCAGATGTATGAAACACTGCACATGCCGAATCACACACATATTCTCTTTGTACATCTGAATAAATGCGAAACTGTGAAATGTGCAAAACCCCTCCCTGCCTCCTCCCCCATATAAATATGCTAATGACTCTACTTTGGCAAAACCAAATGAAGAAGCAATGGGAAAAACAAAAAAAACAAAGCAAAAGCAGAAACTTTGACAGAATGTTAGTTTTATCGTTAGTAAATCCAAACATGAGCGTGAAACCTGGCGTATGCAAAGTTTTTGTGAGTACACAGCGTTCATACATGAAGACCAAGATGTTTTCAACTAGGTGGGGCTGAAAAATGCGTGACGTTCACATGCACACAGCTTGCACAACATGTGCGCGTAAATCCCATATGGGTGTCATGCAAATTGCGCACTTCCATGGTAATGACAAACTTACACCCTAAGCTTATTGGCACCGCTTTCAAGGTGCATGCTCAGCAGCCACATTAAAAAATAATAATAAAATAATAAAAAAAAAAAAAAAACTATAGCCTTCATATGGAAACTTTATAACGAATCTTTTATTTATGGATATTGACAATGGTGTTTGGTCAATAAATATAAATACCAATTTTATCGCCAAGCCCTATATTATATTACATATTTCGGTAACACTTTACAATAAGGTTCATTAGTTAATGCATTTACTAACATGAACTAATCATGAACAACACATGTACAGCATTTATTAATCATAATTGAACATTTACTAATGCATTATTATCATTCAAGTCCATGCTTGTTAGCATTAGTCAATGCACCATGAGTTAACATGAACAACTCTATTTTTATTAACTAACATTTATTAACATGAATAAATACTGTAGTACATGTAGTGTTCATTGTTTGTTCATGTTAGTAAATGCATTACTTAACATTAACTAATGAACCTTATTGTAAAGTGTGACATATTTCTAAATACATTTCTTCTAAATTTAAAATAAAAATGAACACACTTACATACTTTTACAAAAAAAAAAAAAAAATACATGTTTACAGACATGTTCATAGCCATTTTATTTGTCATTAGACAAACAAAACCAATACTTTAAAATTAAAAGTAAAAAATAAATAAATCAATATTTGTTGAAATTACCCTGCTTTCAAGAACTGATGTTCTGACCAATTTTCACATTCAGAAAACAAGGTCTGAAAAAACATTGATAATTCAATGATTTTGAATTAAGGGGGAAAAAAACTGACTTGCAGTACCCGTTTACTTTAATCATAGTAATCATGGTTTACATTAAATGGTGTACGCCAAATGTTAAAGACATATAGGGATAGCTCACCCAAAAATGAATATGCATTATTTACTGGGCCTCAAGTAGCTCCCAAACCTTTATGATTTTCTGGTAAACACAAAAGAATATATTTTGAAGAAACCAGTAGCCACTGAAATCATTAAAAAAATACTGTCAGTGACTACAAGTTTACAACATTCTACAAAATAGCTTCTTTTTTTGTTTAACAGGTTCAACAGATTTGATTATCAAACAGGTTGGGATCATGTGAAGGTCAAGTAAATAATGACAGAATATTTATTTTTGAGTGAGCTATATCCCTTCAACTGCATTAGTTTAATAGGACTATTGCCAAAATCCCTTTATAACTGCATTAGAGTACATGTAAACAGTGACCGACATTGGAATCTGTCTGACACTGGATTGTGCAGGTCATACCTCAGCAGCATGAACTATAGGGAAAGGTGATTGAAATGTTTTTGTTGATCAAAAAAATACTTGACATGGTTGGTTTCCATGGATTAGGCTATTCCCCTGTGACAAATGACTACTGCTAGCACTTTTAGAATACTTAAGAAAACCAAAAAAATGGGATTAAAGTGTATTTATTTTTATAATAAGTCAGGACAATAAAATATTGCTAAAATACATAACTGTTACAACAAAAACGGGATGTCTGGTCACCCTCCAGTATGTTAGATAAGGGTGGATAAACAGATAGTGAGATACTCCAGTGAGATACTCTCACTAACCTAGCTACAAGGTATGCTAATGACTGCTGCTTGGGGCTATGTGTTTCAGTGTCCTTTTTTTAGAATGCCTGCCTAAAATGCCAGAACAACAGATTCAAATCCCGCTTGGAGCAATGCAAGCTCACCCGGGATGGGTTATGTTGGTGCCGTGACCCGGATAAGAATGAGATATAGGGGAATGATGTTAATTAAGGCAAGCTAGAAGCTGTGTGACTAGTTTGTCCTGAGGGCCACAGATTATAGTGTCTTTAGGTTCCTCGTTGGCACCCATGCTGTAAATGCCAGTTTGAATCTCTCGGAGCAGTAGCAGTAGAACTGGAGGGATAACAGTTTTCTAGGGCTGCTTTCAAAAATTCTTGTTTTTTCTTTCTCTCTGCTCTGTCAGGCAATGACCTTGTAGGCAGCATTCAGGCACACAAGTACCTCAGGAACCACAACAGTGATTGGATAAGGGAACATAAATGATTAATGATCCAGCCAAGGTTATTTTAGTAAGCTAAAACTAAGAAAGACAAAATAGTAAAACTATTGGTAAAAAAAAAAAAAAAAAAAATCCTTATTTTAAATGAAAAAAGAAAATATATATAAATAACAAAAAAAAAAAAAAAATCAATGGCCATTGGAAAACTAACTGGAAAAAAAAGTATTTAGCAAAATAAAACTATAGTTTTTCGGAACTCCTAAACATTCATTCTATGGTGTCCTTAGAATGTCCTCTTTATAGATGGCACTTTTAATGTAAAAACACATCGGCAGATGATTATATACCTAAAAAAACTTCTTGAACATACCCATGTGCTCAATCTTTTCTTCGTTTGCCAAAAAATAAAGTATGTTTATCTACAACCCCAAATAAAAAAAAAATTAAAAAAAATAAAAAAAAACGATTTTGCTAGTAATCTGGTAAATTGGTTAAATAATAATGTGATTTTAAACAAGTGATGTCAACATGTGATTGTAATTATGACAAGGGCACAAGCCTAAGTTGAACCACCTTGATGTCCGATCCCTCAGACCGCACTACATCAAGAATCGTCATTCATCTAGAAGCGGTCACCACGTGGGCTCAGGACTATGTTGGCAAACCTTTGTCAACTACCACAATACATAGTTACATCCTCATGCCAAAAGAAAAACTGTACTGTGCCAAAAGGAAGCCCTATGTTAAGTGTCCAGAAGTGCCATTGACTTCTATAGGTGCCGTTGGCAAAGGTAACTTGCACTTCTGTGATACCATAAATGCTGAAAAATACATAAAGATTTTGGAACACAATATGCTGCCTTCTTTTCCAGGGATGCCCAAGCGTATTACAATAATGTAATGTAATGACAAGACGATGCAAAACCACATTCTGCACATAGTCCTGGCTGCAGAGAAAGAGGATACAGTTACTTGACTGGTCTGCCTACAGTCCCAACTTATCTCCAATAGAGAATGTGCTGTGCATTTTAAAGTGCAAAATGCGTGCTTTACTGTTCCAACTTTTTTTTTTTTTAGGTGTTGCAAAAGAAACCAAAATGGAAAACATGTTTATTTTGAAAAAAAAAAAAAGAACATACAAATAATGTTTGTTCTATTGTCTGCAATGAAAAATAGTTAATTTAAGTAAATTTAAAATCACTACTGTCTTTTTTTGAATGCGTTTTCCATACTGTGCTAATTTTTTGTACATATACAGTATGATCCTCACTAAATTTAGTTTGTTTGAATTCTTCATAATTCCTAATTTTATTCATTCAGTATGTGCGTTTAGATAATGTGTTTGCACAAACAATTATTTTAGTTTTATTACTTTTTATTAATTTATTTTGATCATGTACTGTAAGCTGTGAAAACTAAACTGTGCTCGGGTTGGCACTGGGCATGCTGTTAACTCTGTTAAACTAGAATTGCTACTTAAACTAAATATTTAAAAACTAAATAAAAATGTGTTCACAAGTTAATAACTAAACTAAAATGTTAATGAAACAAACTAAAACTAAAAATTTTCAGCAAATTTAACAATGGATTTGAAACTAATTTGAAAAAAATGCAAAACTATAATGACTTTGGATAAAGCTTTGGTGATAACCAAGTATTTCAGTAATGCTATATATTGTGCTATAAACTACATCAAGGGTCATAAAGTTTAATCAAAGATGCACTTTATCCACAAAAACACCACAAACTACAACTTTCAGATGTTTTTTTTTTTTTTAGCTGCCTGAAATTGTAACAGACACATCTATGCGGAATATTACAATCATTCGATTCAGACATGCAATCTCAGATTCATCTGCTTTCTAAAGTTTCTTACATTTCTCTCTGACAAAAAGAGAAATGGTTTATGTTTAAAAAAAGAGGACTATACTTCATGCTAAACTACTGGACTCAAATTTCATTAGTTGCATTTTCTAATTCCACTCTGTATGACATAAATCGCTATATTATAATAACTAATTCAGGCACCAAGTCCATTAGACATCGAGACAATGATAATTCAGTTACCTGTGGGACAATTACACGGTCCCACATTAAAACATGGTTAATAATGATACTGCGTTAACATGCCTTTATGAATGTCATCATGAAAAAGGTTTTATATCCTTAAAATATAAAAGACATATTGCATAATGGCATTAACCATCATACTGTAGTAATTAAAATCAAATGTGCATGAAAAATATAATATATAATAGTTATTGCAGTGCAAATTATAAAACTATATAAATAAATAAATAAAAGATCAAATATGTAATTTTTAACTCTGAAATGATTACAGAGAATAAAATTTAATTGTTATGAAAACAGAAAATAGTCTATACCTGACAACACTGACAACAGAGCCTATTTTGACAGGTGCAATTGCTGCAGTGAACAAAAAAGTGCCTATTTTATAAAAGAAAAGAAAAAAATATGCACTTACCTGATTTACACTCCTTTTTTACTCATCCTTTTCCTCCCTGTGTGTAATTCTTTCCTCATTTCCTCCATGCAGGATGTCTGTCTCACTGAAACGGAGCAAAACAGCACAGAATGCATGAGATTCTATGTGGAACAAATGCTTAGCGTCTGTCAAACTGTACAAAGCATTTTTTATTTTGATGGTAAAATTTGAATAAAATCAAATATATCTCATCAAGCAATTGTGCATGTAATGTTCTTCTGCTGGAGTGTATTTAGTAACAATTAGACTAAGAATAAATAAAAAAATTAACAATAATCAATTACACATATACACATTGTTTAAGAAATGAAGAATTTTTTTCAGAAAGTGACAGTAAAATACATGTATGGAACATAACAACTTTAGAAGCAGCAAGTTTAAGTTCATTCACATCATTCATTCATTCATTTTCTTGTTAGCTTGGTCCCTTTATTAATCCGGGGTCGCCACAGCAGAATGAACCGCCAACTTATGCAGCACATTTTTACGCAGCGAATACCCTTCCAGCCGCAAACCATCTCTGGGAAATCAATTGATCAAAAACATGAAATTATAAATAAATTCTAGAAATAAATACTACAAATATATAATACAAATAAAATTTACAATTTTCCCCATATTTTTGTCAGTCATGTCACATTTGCATTAAATTTAACATAAAATGCGTGCAAAACACCTTTAAGGTATGACTCGAAAGTGACATCATTTAAAGGAGGAGAAGCTGACAGTATTTAGAATAAACATATAAACGTGATCTGACTGACTTCTAGCAGCTAAATGTGTCTGGAAAAAAATTCAAAGGCTTTTATTTCCATAAACCGCACGGACGTGAATGCGTCTGAGTGTTCTGATTGGCTGAAGTAGACATCTCATGTCAGCACGTTCTAGACGTGCACGTTCCGGCAATCTTCCTTTTGTGTTCACACAGCGCAGCATTCCGGCAAATTACCGGGTAATGTTACAACTTCTCCTTCCGGAAAATAGCTGAAACTAATTTACCAGTATTTTCAAAAAGGGCCTGTTCACACATAAAGGACCTTTCTGTAATTTTCCGGAAAGATCTGTATGTGTGAAAGGGACTATTGAATTGTATGATTTTATGCTTGTTTATGTATGATTTTTTTGAGGATGACATGCTTAAAGGTCAGGCCCTATCAAATTTTTATAAGTGAAAAATGTACGTTTCTGGTAGAATGTCCTTTAAATTGTTAATTATATATCGTTAACAATATATCGTTTCAGCATCGGTATCGCAATGGGATTATTCGCAACAGTCACATCGCAGGATATGCAATGTTGAGTTTGTTTATTCATTCATTTTCTTTTCGGCTTAGTCCTTTTATTAATCCGGGGTCGCCACAGCGGAATGAACCGCCAACTTTTCCAGCACGTTTTTACGCAGCGGATGCCCTTCCAGCAGCAACCCATCTCTGGGAAAATGTTGAGTTTGTTTTACAATTTATCATGTGTTTTTGAGGCCTGTGATTCTACAATATGTGTTCAGGTATAAGAAACTGTACCATTTGTCACCTACTCTAAAATTTTTGTTATTAAATTATTTTTATTTTGATCATTCAGTTACTGTACTTGAATTTTCTTGCTTGCATTTATAGATTGATATGCATGAAAATGCTTACAACACATGTAAATACAGAAATGCACTGCAAATAGCACAGACCACAATCAAAGCGTGTCCAAAAAGTTTATAGACTGTTTATTAGATTGTATGGAGATACACTTCCACTGCAAAATCATAAAAAAATAAATAAAAATAAAATATCATTATTAAATAAATGGTGCATATATTTTATGACAAAGTACAAAGCGGGTTAGATCTGCTATCAGGCCATTTTTTCCACTGACCTACAGATGTTCACATGGCTGAGTCAACTGTGAATACATTCACGTATCTTTGAACAATGGAGCAATTTGAGCTGTTTTGGCGCTCTATTTATTCATATAGTATTTGTGTGTGTGTGTACAGCAGAAGGCTGTCTGTGGGCAAGGCTTCCACACTGAGAAAATCAAAGCTACAAACTGACAGTTCAGCTTCCAGATGCTCTCGCCAGGGACAGAAGTGAGGGAAAAAACATGAAAGTTAGAAAATGAAGAGAGCATAGAACATCTAGAAAGAACTAGTGTGAACCTTTCATGTTATGTCAATATCTGAATTCCTGTGAAAGGCATTGTTCTTGAGTTCAAGCACTAAGCAGAATACATGTGTAGCTCAAGTTGGCAGGACCAACTGCAGTGATTTATGAAATGTTGCATAAAACACTTCTGGGCTTTTATGTTTCAGTGTAGGGTTGACTTTTCAGTTTTCATAAGGTATCAAACATCCTGTTTCAGAACTTTAAATTTCACTTAGTCATTGGTCTAAAAACCAGTTCTTGATGCCAATCTTTAAAACGACTAGGGATGCATTGCATCTTTGACAGCTAAAAATTATAAAGCAAAAGAAAGCTTTATGGTTTTCGTTGAATATGGGTGAAAATAGCAAATTAGTCAAAAATGTTAATGGCTTACGGTATTTTGCTGCAGTGACAAAGCAGAATTGTAGTGGAACACACCGTTAAATTAGCTTGCACGCATGCTGTGGTCAAAGTTCAAAATAGTGTAGTATTCTGCTCTGTACAGGTAGATATTCTACTCGTATACATATAGTATACAACTGAAGTCAAAATTATTAGCCCCTTCCATATTTTTCCCTTATGTCTATTTAACGAAAAGAACCTTTTTTTCAACACGTTTAAGCATAATATTTTAATAACTAATTTTACTAATATCTTTGCCATGATGACAGTACATAATATTTTACTATATACATTTTTGGGATGCTAGAATTCAGCTTAAAGTGCCATTTAAAGACCTAACTAGGTTCATTCGTTTAATTAGGCAAGTTAGGGTAATTAGTAGGCCAACATGGAATCTACACGCATGGATTTCTGCACATTATTAGCCCATCATTGAGTCTATGTATTTACTTGTAAATACGTGTAAATTTATATTTATTAGTTTTTTTTTATTAATTTCAGTAATATTATGATATAATATTAGTCATATTAAAATGTTCATATGATTTGTTCAATACAATTCGTAAAGTAGTATGTTCTGTCTTTTAGTAGTTTTATATTATAACAGAGACTTGCTTTGTTTACCAAATAAGTGCATCTAATTGGATTTGCATTGTAACCATTAAATAAAAATCAAAAACATTTATTAGTTTAATATTTCATACATTCAGTTTTTAGTTATGATACTCTTAAAATCATTCCGCATGAATCCACAGATTTTATGTACAAATTTATTTGCAGAAATAGCAGAAACTGTAATTATGCAAGTCATTGCATAACAGTGATTTGTTCTGTAGAGGAATCGAAAAAAATATATTGCTAAAGGGGGCTAATAATATTGACCTTAATTTTTTTTTATTACTATTATTAAAACTGTTTTTTCTCTGAATGATTTTGAGATATTGAGCTTTAAAGTTTTTGCATTCCATATAGCAAACAGTATGTGTATAACATTTTTATATTTTTTTTATAAAAAGATTTAAAACAAACAACTTATAAAAAACACCCCATAATGTAAATATATGGTCATTTAATAAGAATGTGTCAATAACTAAATTTTGATAAAAATGTAAGATAGAACCATGTAGTTCCAATGATGTTATAACTTATGATATGCTGGATAAGTTGGCAGTTCATACTGCTGTGGCAACTCCTGATGAATAAAGAGACTGAGCCGAATGAATAAATGAATGTATGGAGAAATGATTAAAAAAAAATAATAATCACAAGAGGGCTAATAATTTTGGATTCAACTCTATGCTGATAGGGAAAACAAATTTTGCTTAATGCACTAAAAGAACATTTCTATAGCATACATTTTACAACTCCTTTAAATGCATGAAAAGCTAAAATTCATCCAGATTCAAAGAAGAATCGCACAGGTCAGAATTCAGCTCAATATCTGACCCAAAAAAATCACATTGTGTATAGCCGACTTAACTGCCTGTTTTTTTTTTTTTTTTTTTTTTTTTAATAGCTAAAGTAATAGTTACAAATATAGGAAGCTGTCAAATGGCATCACTTTGACTTTAAAAGTGAGGTGGACAGTCCCACATGCAGATTTATGAACGAGTAGCCAAAACAGTAATGTAAGCCACAAGGAAAAATACAAGAAACAGGCAAAAGGTCAGGGCAGACAGCAAACAATCATTAAACAGCCCAAATTCAAACAAAGGGAAGAAGACAAAAAAACAGGAACCTGCTCAAATGTTGGCAACATACAAATAAAGACTACAACAATATTGAGAAATAGCAAAGCCTGATGCAAGACTGAAATGATTAGCCTAAAAGCATAACGGCTAATGCTAAAGCTGCTTTTATAATAGTATGCTGGAAGGGAGACCAAAAACTTCTATGTGATTGAAGACATGCTATATGCAACCAAATTAGCATTATGTGACTTTCGATTGTAATCAATACAAATATGTTCAATATCTGGAAAGTGAGCCTATTGAAAAGAAATAGGAAACTGGTGGAGTTATAATCAGTGCAGTCGTGTCAAATGTTGTGTCGGCTACAGCTTAGTGATCACGACAGAAGCTTGCCATTGTTTTTTTTTTTTTTTTTCAGTCTGAATTGTAAGATGGAAAACCTGGAGTGAAACTAGTCACCTTGGAATTATAAGGTTCTATCTGCGTTCTGAATGATTTTGAGATAATGAGCTTTAAATTTTTTTGCATTCCATAGCAAACAATATGTGTGTAACATTTGTTTTTTTAAATAAAAAGTCTTAAAATGTAAACTTCTAAAAAATCCTAGAATGTAAATAATTTGTCATTTCAAGAGTTCACACTTAGCTGATGATTAATTATAAAAGCTTGTTTGGCATGCTGTCCCGGGAGAGAGCCCTGAGCTTATGAGATCCTCGAGCCCAGGGCTCCCTCCCATTGCAAGGCGGGAGGGGAGTTTGAGCTCAGGTAGATCTCGAGAACTCCCTTGCTGTAGCAAGTGATTGCTCTTGAAAATAACTACGTACTAGAAGCGCGTCTAT